CCGAGCGCCTCTCATCGTCGCCGCCGACAGCGCAACACCAAGCGCACCCATAAAAGCGCTACCCGTCGCCGTCAGCAGCGCCACGTCAAGCGCGCCAGCAAGAGCGCTATCCGGCGCCGCCAACAGCGCAACACCAAGCGCACCCGCAAGAGCGCTACCCGTCGCCGTCAGCAGCGCCACGTCAAGCGCGCCAGCAAGAGCGCTATCCGGCGCCGCCAACAGCGCAACACCAAGCGCACCCGCAAGAGCGCTACCCGTCGCCGTCAGCAGCGCCACGTCAAGCGCGCCAGCAAGAGCGCTATCCGGCGCCGCCAACAGCGCAACACCAAGCGCACCCGCAAGAGCGCTACCCGTCGCCGTCAGCAGCGCCACGTCAAGCGCGCCAGCAAGAGCGCTATCCGTCGCCGTCAGCAGCGCACGACAGGCGTACCGAGGCTAGCAGCGCGCCATTCAACGGCGTCAACAGACCGCTGCTCACCAGAATTGAAGCCACGCCACTACCACCTAACGAGCCCATAACGGGACAGGAAGCCGTTACCCAACCACTGCAAGTGACGCCAGCAAGTTTTGTTATTTGTTATATGTTCTTTATAGAAATTAAGAAAATGAAAGTAATAAAGTGCGATTTGCCAGAGCCCCGAAACTACAAATTTATTGTAACGAACCCTGGACACGGCGAGTATACCCCAGCATTGTAGAAGAAGCGGCGGGGCGAATAAAACGCTTCGTTACAATAGGGTTTGCGTTTATTTATTATATCTAATAAATGGAACTTAGTGAGGATAATATTGACTAATGAGAAAAGTGCACGTCTGGTGAAGACTGAGAGTAAAGAAAAGCAGAAAAAACAATATACATTTTTTATTTCTTTTAAATGTTTTGATTCGCCATTATAAGGTTATTAATAGAAAAAAAAAAGCAATAATCAAGTTATAACTAAGCGTTAGTTTTACTACGACCTTGCAAAAATAAAAAAATTTACTTGTGGGCCTTTTTAGCCTGAAGAATGTATGTATATGCAACATTGCAGCAGCTTATTTTCCTACATTTTGTTTAATTTCCACTAATAATTAGAATGCTTTAGAAATATTTACGAAAATAGAGCACTTGACTTCGTTCGTTTTAGAGTTGTAGCAGGTAATGATTTTTTCTTCAAACTGCGATTCCCGAAGTGCGGAGTTGTGTGGTTTAGTTGGGATTTCCCTGAACACCAGATAC